GGTACAAGTGAATCTTTCTAAGAGTAGAATGTAAATGTTTTAAAACAATAACTGAGAAAATGACATGAAGGCTGTGTTGATCAGTTTGATGGAAGTATTTCGGATTGCATGTGAAAACCCCACACTGTACCCCAGAAGTGCATTAATGTACATAGTTACCATTCAATAAAATTTTTTTTTTCTTTTTCTGCCTCTTTGTAATAAGTGTTCTTAACTGGTCTCAAAGATTTGACAATAGCTTGCTGAAGATTAGATTTTCTCAAAGGAGTTTTGCTCTGAAAAGGTCCTCCTGTTCCATTCTTCCCAAGAAGCTTATTCTCCAAATCGGCCTTCTCCTCAAATCATGAATGTATGTTTTCAGTGTCTCCTTCATCATCCAAAGATGTAAAGTCAATAAAGTCCTTTGGGACATCATATGAATAAGAGGTTTGAACTTGTGACATTGTTCTGGACTGAGTACTCTAAGACTAGATTTTTCCAGTATTTGTATCACTTTTCTTCACAGGTCACCTTTTCTGTGCTGACAATGAAACGCCCTACTATCTGGATTTTTATAGGAAAAGTTGGCCAAATTCAGTTTCATTAGATTAAACTTCCTTTGATGTAATCATTTTTACATCATATTGAAATGTATTTATGGCAAATGAGTGCCCATGTGCAATCACTTGCTGATGTTCAGACTAATTTGAGGATCCAATAGTTGAGCATTCATGTATTGAGAACAAAACCAAAACTATAATAACCTCCAACTTTCTTGGTTATAAGCTAGAATGCCAATACAACATGTAACTGCCTTTTGTAACTCAGCAGATATTTAAGCAGTTCTATCAAAATTTGGTTAGATGTATCACTAAACTAAATACGGTAAGCATACTTTAAATGGGAATGATCAATACACTAGAGATTCACCTCATTTCAGAAAATCGTTGTATACAACATTATTTTATGGGTATAGTAGTTTAAGTATTTCCTTGCTGAAATGTATTTAGACTATCTCCAACTTTTGATATGACAATGTTATAATAAACTTCTGTAACAGATATATATAGATAACATAGTTATATTAATATCCTTAACATACATATATTAATACTATGTATCTTAACATATGCTATATATATTAGATACATACATATTTGTTTATTTTATGTTTATATCATAGATAACAAATGTTCTTAACATGTCTGTGTGTTTACATGGGTCATATTTTCCTGTAGGATCTAGCCACAGAATTGAACATCTCAGAGTAAATGAATGACATATTTGAAATTTGGTGCCCATTGCTAAATTACCTGTTAAAAGGATTTACTGGTTTTATCAACAAATAGTGCATGACAATAACCTTTCTTCACATTTCTCAGCACTGTTTTTGTTAAAAAAATATATATATCAGCATGACTGGAAACAATGATATCTCATTGTTTGTAAATTTGCATTTTTCTAATATCAGGCAAAGGCTGAAAAGCCCTAGGTAAAGTATATAACTTGTTAATTGTGAATGTTAGCCCAGATTAGAATTAGTTTTATAGTATAGTAATAATTATACACTGTCAAACACCTCTACAGGCTCACCTGTCCCACTCTTTATTCTCCTTCCCAGAAAACTGCTGATTGTAGGTTTCTCTAGCCTTTGTTTCTTGAATTAATCCATCATCATCAATGTCATCAGTCATAGAATCACAGAGGGATTTAGATACTTCTATGTCATTACCTTCACACTTCTTCCTTTGTTTTTTAACCTTGATGAAAAGTTTAATATGACAGATAATTGTTACTACTTTAGTCTATAAAAGGAATTTTTTGTTTTCATTTATTTTATCACTTTACTTTGTTATGATTAGAGCAAGCAAAATATTTCATTATTACTTTAATTTTAGTATTATATTGAAGTAATATCACATAATTGTGAGATATAATTATAACTGTCATTAAAAATGTTTGGAGAATCTGCTGTATTTCTTTTTGAGTGAGTCAAACAGAATTTTTCAAATTTTAAAAAGGGCCATATTAACTTTGTCATTCCCTTTTCTTCTTGGTATCTAATGAATTTTCACCCCATTTGATGGTCAGAAATTGAGAAATAAAAAGAGACAAAAAAGATGCCATCTTCTATCTTTTTATTTATTTATTTATTTACATACTTATTTATCTCAAAGTATTATGGGGGTACAAATAGTTTGATTACATGGATTGCTTTTATAATGTTTCAGTCATGGTTAGAAGTATGTCTTTCACCCAGAGAGTGTTCACTCTACCTGTTAGGTTTTTGCCATCCCATCTTCCCCCATCACCCCTGCTTCATTTCTACTCAGTTTTGCTTCACATGTGTGCTCATCAATTTAATTCCAATTTAATAGTGAGTACATGCTGTATTCGTGTTTTCATTCTTTAGATACTTTTTTTTTCTTCTCCTTTCCCTCACCCCTCCCTCCTTCTATCTCTGTCTGCTCTTATCTTCCCCCATGCCCCCACCATGTCATTAATTATTCTCATATGAAGTTGAATACATAGGATTCATGCTTCTCCATTCCTGTGATACCTCCCAAGGAATAATGCGTTCCACCTCCATCAAACTTAATAGAAATGCTGCAAAATCTCCATTTTTTAAATGGCTGAATAGTATTCCATTGTATAAATATACCACAGCTTGCCAATCCATTCCTTGGTTGAGGAGCATTTAGGCTGTTTCCACATTTTAGTGATTGTAATTTGAGCTGTGATAAACAATCTATTACAACTGTCTTTATAATAAAAGTTTTTTTTTTTCCTTCTGGATAGATGCCCAGTAATGGGATTACAGGATCAAATGGAAGGACTGGTTTGAGTTCTTGGAGGTTTGTCCATATTTCCTTCCAAACAGGTTGTATTGGTTTGCAGTCCCACCAGCAATGTAAAAGTGTTTCATTCTCTCCACATCCGCACCAGCATCTGCAGTTTTGAGATTATACTCCCATTCTCACTGGGGTTAGATGATATCTCAGGGTGGTTTTAATTTGCATTTCTCTAATAATTAGAGATGATGAGCATTTTCGCATATGTTTGCTAGCCATTCGTCTGTCTCCTTCAGAAAAGGTTCTGTTCATCTCTCTTCTCCATTGATGTATGGGATTATTGGTGTTTTTTTTGGTGGATTAATTTAAGTTCTGTATAGGTCCTAGTTACTAAGCATTTGTCTGATTCAAAATATGGAAATATCTTTTCCCATTGGGTAAGTTGTCTATTTCCTTTGGTTCTTGTCTCCTTAGCTATACAGAAGTTTAATTTAATCCCATTTAGTTAATTAAATCCCATTTGTTTATTATTGCTGTTGTTTCTATTCCCATGGCAATCTTCTTCATAAAGTCTTTCCCCAGGCCAATATCTTCCAGTGTTTTTCCTATGCTTTCTTTGAGGATTTTTATCATTTCGTGACTTAAAGGTAAGTCCTTTATCCATCTTGAATCAATTTTTGTGAGTGGAGAAAGGTGCAGGTCCACTTTTAGTCTTTTACATGTGAATATCAATTCTCTCAGCACTATTTATTGAATAGGGAGTCTTTCCCCCAGTGGATGTTCTTGTTTGGCTTACTGAAGTTTAGCTGTTATAAGTTGTTGGTTTGTTTTCCTGATTTTCTATTTGATTCCAAATGTCTATGTCTCTGTTTTTGTGCCATTACCATGCTGTCTTGACCACTATGGCCTTGTAGTACAGCCTAAAATCTGGTATGGTAATACCCCTGGCTTTGTTTTAATTACTAAGAATTGCCTTAGCTATATGGTTTTTTTTCTGGTTCAGTACAAAATGCAGAATCATTTTTTCCAAGTCTTGAAAGTAAGATGTTGGTATATTAATAGGGATGGTATTGAATTGGCAGATTTTTCTGGGAAGTATGGACATTTTAACAATGTTGATTCTTCCCAGCCATGAGCATGGTATATTCTTTCATTTGTTAAAGTCCTCTGCTATTTTTTTCTTGGGTTTCATAATTTTCTTTATAGAGGTCCTTTACCTCTTTTATTAGGTATATTCCTAAGTATTTCCTTTTCTTTGGGGCTATGGGGAAGGGATCTGTGTCCTTATTTAGCCTCTCATCTTGGCTATTTTTGGCACATACAAAAGCAATTGACTTGTGGACATTGATTTTATACTACTGACTTGTGGACATTGATTTTATAATATTTTATAAATATTACTATATTTTTTGATGATTTCCAAGAGTCTGGTGGTTGAGTCTTTTGGGTTCTCTAAGTATAAGATCATATCATAAGAAAAGAGGAAGAGTTTGACTTCCTCTGCTCCCATTTGGGTGCCCTTTATTTTCTAGTCTTGCCTAATTGAATTGGCTAGAACTTCCAGCACTATGTTGAATAGTAATGGCAACAATGTTTTTGTTAGAGGTGAGTTCTACTTTTACTGCATTGTGGTCTGAGAATAACTGGGTCCAGTTCTAAGAGGAAAAGCTTTCAGTTTAACTCCATTCAGTAAAATATTAGCTGTGGGTTTCTCATAGATAGCTTCAATCAGTTTAAGAAATGTGCCACCTATGCCTAAACTATTCAGTGTTCTAGTTAGAAATGGAGGCTTGATTTTATCAAATGCTTTTCCTGCATCTATTGAGAGGACTGTATGGGCTTTGTTTTGCTTCTGTTGATATGGAGAATATCATTTACAGATTTTTTTATATTAAACCAGCCTTGAATCCCTGGGATGAAACCTACTTGATCATTATGTATGACTTTTTTGATGATAAGCTGTAATTATTGGCTAGGATTTTTTTGAGAATTTTTGCATCTATATTCACTAGTGAAATTGGTCTAAAGTTCTCCTTTTTAGTTGGGTCTTTTCCTGGTTTTGGTATCAGGGTGATGTGTGCTTCATAGAATGTGTTGGAGAAGATTCTTCCTTCCTCCTAAATTTTTTGGAATAATTTCTACAATATAGGAATAAGCTGGTCTTTGAAGGATTGATAGAATTCTGGTGTAAAGCCATTCAGATCAGGGCATTTTTTTGTTGGGAGATTTTTTTATTATTTCTTTGATCTCAGTGCATGAAATTGGTCTGTTCAGAACATCTGTTTCATCAGGGCTAAGTTTAGGGAGAGATTGTGTTCCCAAATATTGATCAATTTCCTTCACATTGTCAAATTTCTGGGTATAGAGTTTCTGGTAGTATTCAGAGATAATCTCTTGTAGTTCCGTGGTATCAGTTGTTATTTCCCCTTTATTATTCTTATTGATGTTACTAGAGATTTTACTTTTTTATTTCTGGTTAGTCTGGCCAAAGGTTTATCTATTTTCTTTGTTATTTCAAAAAAACAACCCTGTGTTTCATTAATTTTCTGAATGATTCTTTTGTTTTTAATTTCATTAATCTCTGATTTAATTTTGGAAATTTATTTTCTTCTGCTGGGTTTAGACCTAAATTGTTCTTCTTTTTCCAATCCCATAAGATGGCTTATAAGTTT